CTCCTCCTCCTCCTCCTCCTTCTCCTCCTCCTCCTCCTCCTCCTCCTCCTCCTCCTCCTCCTCCTCCTCCGCCTCCTAGCCCCTGCTCCTCCGCCTCCTAGCCCCTGCTGAACCCCGCTAAACCATGCGAAGTCTTGCTAAGCTGTGCTAAACCTGCTATGACCAGGTAAGCACTGCCAGTCCGTGCTAGACCCCGCTGAACCCGGCCAGTTCCTGTTCAGCCCTGCGAGTGAGCCGTGCCAGCGTTTGCTGGGTTTTGCTGCTATGTCACGTGGGCGAGCCCTGGTCGCGCCTTGTAAAGTTACGATGTGTTCCGCTAAGACATGCTCGGTGTTGGCAAGTCCTGCGAAGCCTACATATGCAATGCGAAGACGCCCATGCCATGGCAAGCCGTGCGAAGCCGTGTAACGTCCCATGTCATGGTGCGCCCTGCGAAGCCCTGTGAAACCCGCACCACCATCACCATCACATGCATAATCAGGTTGATACGCATATTCCTGAACATTCCCGTACTCATACCCATACTCACACGCAAACTCACCAACATAATCAGCAACATCGTCATCACCATAAGCATCACCAACATCACCATGATGATATCGTCATCACGAACAGCACCAGCAGCATCACCAGTTGCATCGTCATTCTCACCGTCACCAATAACCAGCATAGTCCTCATCATCACCACCATCAAGGCGCATTCTCGTAATCAGCATCGTCATCCTCCTCGGCGTCAGCATCGCCACCATCACAAACATGAACATCAACACCATCATCCCATCCTTACCCCCGTAACCGTCGTCGTAAACGCCAGCCGCATATTTAGCATGCACAGCATCATTATCATCAGCAGCATCAGCAGCAGCAGCATCGCCATCATCATGCCCTGGCGTCCATTTATCCAGAGTACCCCGCGCGCGCGAGCTTGGCGAATGGAGGCCAGCCACGGAGCGGCCGAAGCAGGAGGGCGCCGCGGCAACGCGTTTGCCGCGGCGCCTCAAACCAGACAGAGAGCCCTCGATCAGAGAAAGCCGCTCGCAAGGGGGGGGGTGTCGGGCGAGAAAGCTACAGATCATGCTCCCCTCTTCCATCATATCCTCTGTGCCCCCATGATCCTGGCCGCCCATTTATCCACTGCACCCCTTGCGTGCGTTTTGCGAGCGGAGGCCGGCCGCGGGGCGGCCGAAGCAGGAGGGCGCCGCGGCGAAACGTCTGCCGCGCCGACTCAAACCAGAAGGAACGCTCTCGACCAGCTCCCCCAAATATCCCCACGGTGGCACGTGCGAATTATACGCGGGGCACGTCTGGCCAGCAGCTGCACGCGACGCCGGCCCTCGGTCGGCACGAAGGCCAAGGACAGCGCAGCCGAGCCCATCTGCAGGTGGCGACGCAAAGACTTTGCAGTCTCCTGCTGCCCACGGCACTGCAGCAGTCCCTACGTTGTGGAACGCGCAGAAGCGCCGGACGCCCCACCCCACCCCCGGCAGCGAGCCCAACGCGCGCGGAGAGTCGCCGGCGCCGACGAAGGCTCTGAGCGAGCCCTCGAAGCTGGCCCACGCAGAGGCTCGCCGTCAGAGCCAGGGCCCGAGCACGCGTGCGATCCGGTTCAGCAGCGCTGGATCACCAATCAAAACGCTTTGGGGATTCGGCACTCGGACGAACGTCTCTGCCGAGAGCAACGCCTGCACGCCCGCGTCGACGTCGCCGCCGGCACCCCCCGACAGGACCAAAAGCAGCCCATGGGCGCCCGCGATCTCGCCAGGCCGCAACGGCGGATGAAAGGCGAAGAAAAGCCGGGCTGCTTCTCTGCCCCAGTCCTGAGTCCGGGCAGCCACGGCCAACGCCAGGAGCACCTCGACGGGCACGGGCGCCCGCGCCGCGACTGGCTCCAAGTTGCGCCGGCGAGCCACCTCGGCCAAGGCAGGCCGCAACTGGCCCCAAGTCTGCGGCCACAAGAACTGGGCGCCGACGAGGGTCTCCAAACCCCAGGAGTAGGGCGCCTCGCCGTCGCAGAGATACTGCGCGCAGGCAACGAGGAAGAAATCGAGAAGCTCGACGTCGCGACCGAGATCGCCAAGGCGCGGGGGGCCCCGCGCCTGGAGCCACTCGGGCCGCTCATCAAGCATAGCGGTGCACCTGCGGGCCGCGCCGGACTCGACCGCGACGCGAGGGCCCCAGCCTCGTCGCGAGGCCGCACGGCGAAAGGGCGCCGCTCGCAGCTCGGGCGCGCCCCCGCCCGGGAACTCCGGCCAGCCGCAGAAGATGGCGAGGGGCATCAGCAGAGCGGCGATCGGCAGCGTGATCCGAGCTGCCCAGCAACCGCCTCGCACCACTCGCTGAAATACACCGGCGCCACCTCGGCCAGGCGGCGCGCCAGACCTCGCCGTCGCACTCGATGCCGCGCTCGGGGACCAGGCGCTCGCGAGAGCGGTCGCACCTCCGCACCAGTCGCGGCGGGAAATGCCTTCCCCCCTGCCAGGCGGTAGTCTGCCGCCACCTCCTGCCCCGCGCGAACCAGTCCATGAGGCGCTCGTGGAGAGGCCCGCGCTCGACGCTTCCTGCAGCTCGGGCAGCGCCCACTGCAATGACTGCCGCGGTTGCTCCCAGGCCCACAGCACGCCGACGCGGCCGAAGGCCCTCACCAGCGCGAGGCCCGACTCAACGCACCCGTTGCCGAGGACCGCCCCGGGACGGGGCCGCAGCCCCCGCGGCCGCTGGCGCGTCCGAGAAGACTACGAGCACGGGTTCATGAAGCGAGAGAAAGTTCTGCAGGGTGGCGCGAGCGTACACGCCGCTGGCTCGAGCGCCAGGATGAAGTCAACCTCCCGCGCGAGCACGACGAGGTCGGCGAAGTCCTCGAGACCGGCGGTAGCTGGCCAGTCACTGGGCGGCGCACCTGCACGGCCCAGCTCCAGAGCTCTGCGGCAGCGATTGATTCGACAACCTCTGGTGGACGCGGCGTGGCTTCACGCGTCTCAGCCCCCCGCGCTGGACCATCCGCAGGATTGGAAGCGCCGCGCAGCCCGACAGAAAAGAAAGGGCCCCCCTGCGCACGGCAGAAACGGGAAAGTAATTGCGAAGATCCTATTCGGGATCCTGCTGGACGAATGTCCTCGGACGGCAACGCCACGCACAACTTGGGGGTCTAAGAAAACTGGGATTCGCCCACCGTGTACTCTTGGGCCCTTGACCGCACGCCTGACTAGCGACCCACGGGCGACGGCTTCCCGAGCGTCGACGTGGCGACGCCCCGAGAATCGACACCTAAGCAAGGCCGTGAACTGCCTCGAGCCAACCCAAGCACGCACGAGGGGGTCGTCTCGGACCCCCCCCCATCCAAGGACCACCAGGGCTCGTCGGGATCTGGGGGCCCAAAGGGCATTAGCCTCATGCCACTTGTTCGTCGAGGACCTCGCGCCCAAAGCCAAGCGCTTCCACCGCGTCGATTGGCGCCAAAGCGGCCCCGCCGACGTCGGCCGGCCACCGTCGAGTCAAGCGAGCTCCTGAACAGTGGGAACAGGATGACCAAGCCGATCAGCTCGTCAAGCACCGCATTCGGAAGTTCCACTCCGGGCATGTGGAGCCACGCGTAGAGCTAGTCATCGGGACACATCTCGGCTCTGCGAAACATCTAGCGGTGGACCCAGCCCCCAACGAGCCCCCGCACACGCGCGACCGAAGCTGCGCCAACCGGCATGATGCACGCCGCGATCACGCCCAGCTGCTCGGCCATGGTGACCCCCCCACCGACGTCCAGCCTCTCGGACGACGGCTCGCAGACGACGCCACTCGCCCAGTCAAGGGTGGACCTCTCCGGCCCCCTCTCGACGCCCGACCGGCCGCGCGCCCGACGCCCCCGCCGGACGCGCCGACGAGCAGCCTGTCAAACAGTGCCACGCCCATCGCGGCTGGGGCACAGACCAACGACGACACGGTCGCCCGAGTAGACTCTCGCGACAACCCGATCCGATGGAAGAGCCCGCCCACGGGTCGGCAAGCCCTCGTCGCGAAGGCAGCCAGCGGCCAGCAGGCAGTGCCGGTGGACCAACTGGGCCGCCACGGACGCCTCTGACCCCCCGCGGCTGGGGCAGCCAAGGCCAATGCGGCCCCGCCGCGGCCACGCTGGCGGAGGCAGTCAACCTCCCCGGCGCCCCCCTGCTCGAGCAGCTCGTTCGCCCCAATGTCGGGGCCGACGACGGCCTCCTGAAGGCGGGCATCGAGCCACCGCGAGACATAGAAGAAGTCCTTGGCGCCATTGGCGGGCATGGTCGGGCACCCGCCCGTCGGATGGAACAATTCTGCAAACTGCGAGGCGCGCGGCAGGGCCGCCTGCCGCTCGAGGTGAACGCGCCCGCCCCTGGAGACGTCGGCGGCGCAGGCGCGCTCCCGGAGCACCTCTCTCAAGGGCTTCTCCAGGGCATTGCGCCGCCGCCCATCGACGACGACGCTCAACCTGTGATCGCCCTTCCTCTCTACTCCGAAGAGTCCGGCGCGGACTGGGAAGCCAGCGCGGCCCTGAGGGCCCCAGGCCTCGCGAGCCGCAGGAGGCGATCGGCCCGGCCGCGCGCGGCCGCAGCGGCCCAGCAGCCCACGCGCCGGGGGGCAGCCGGCTGGGGGGGCGGCTCAGCTCGAGGTCGATGGCGAAGAGCGCGCGGAAAATGAAGCCGCGCTCCGGCGGCGCGACTGGCCCCTGCTGCAAGACCGACGCCCCCTCGAGCGGGATGCCGAGGCTGGCCAGTGAAAGGCTCGACGAAGTAAGAGTTGCCTCCCAAATGCGAATCGCCCATGAGCCCTGCCGCGGCCCTATGAACGCCGGCGACGCGGTCAGTCAGTAGCGGCAGTGACTTGTCGACGCGGCAACGGCCAGAAAACTTGCCATCAAGCTGGCGCACCAGCTGCCTCGATCTGCCTCTCGCTCAGGGGCGCCATGAGGCAGGGCGCGGCGGCCCCGCCAGCGGGGCGCCCGGGCGAGAGCCAGACGGCTCGGGCGGCGGCCATGTTGACCCAGCGCCGCCGCCGTCTCGCTCGAAGCCGCCACGCACGTCCTCGCGGCGACCGCGGCGAAGCCCCATTCTAAGGCCAGTCGCGGGGAATCCCGCGCGGCACGAGCAGCTCCGGACAAGGCCGGGGGGGGGGGCGCGCCGGGGCAAATTCGGAGACCCCCGCCTCGAGGAAGCCACGGAACGAGGGCGGCGGGCCAGCTGTAAAAAGAACGCAGATCCACGAGCCCACGGCTGCCCGCGACGGCAGAGTCGCCGAGGTAGACGAAGAGGGCCAGACCCCCCCGCGGCGGCCCCCCCCTCGGCGTCTCCAACAGCTGTCGGACCAGAGACGATAAATCGCTTCCCCCGCCCTGCCTGGTGGCCCACTTCTTGTGCTTCTTGTCCCAGTCGCGGCCCTCGTTGTCCCGCCCGCCTTCGCCGCCCCCCCTAGGGTGCGTTTCCGAAGGCCTCGGTCTCGCACAAGTAGGCGACCGCGGCAGAACTCGGCCGGGCGCGCATGGCCTCTTGCCGCCCGGCCCGCCCTGGGACGCGGGCCGCGGAAACCCGACGTCGGCCGCGCCGACCTCCTGGGACCGGTCGAGTTCACCGACTGCCGGGCGGCCATCAGGCGCTGGCCGACGCGGGCCCCGACGAGGTCGCACTGCTGTGACCTGCGGAGGGCGCGCACGGACGCCGCCATCTCCCAGAACTGCTCGCGGCCCGAGGCGCCCGAACCTGATAATCTGCCCGCCGCGGAGCGCCATGCCCCGCCACGGCGACCCCGCGGCGCCGCAGCCGAGCTCGGCGAAGGCCCGAGCGTCGACGCGGGCCGACCACTTCTAGGTCCCGCGCTCGACGGCCTAATTAGTTGAGCGCCGGGAAGCCCGCGGCCCCCCTCGGCCCGCTGACCTTCGCGGCGGGGCCCGCCCCCCCCCCGGCGCTCGAGACGGCGTCGCCGTAGAGCAGGTCGTCGCCCAGAGCGGGCTCGTCGCCCTCCGCCTTCCTGGGCCCGCCCACCTTCCCCAGAGCCCGCGGCATCGCCAGCTGGCGAATCGGCCGGCGCCGCGGCCGCCCGCCTCGACGAGCGCCCCGAGGTCGAGGTCGGCATCCTACTCCGGGGCCGCGCGCGAAACCTGCTCGCGCGGTCGCGGCCCCTCGGGCTTCCTCCGCCGCTCTGCTCGGCCGCGGCCGCGGCCAAGGCCTCCTCCGCCGCCCCGCTCTGCGCGGGCGCCGGGCCTGGCCGCGCACTCAGCACGCAGCTGCGCGGCCGCCCTGGGCCGGCCCCCTGGCGGGCCCCGAAACGGTGCTCGGCCCGGGACAAAGGGGGCCGGGGCCAGCGCTGCCATGGAGGGCCCAGGCTGGAGCAGCGACCCCTGAACGGCGGGCGGCGCCTCGACAGGCGCCAGGCCGCGGACCCAGCTCCCCGCATGCCCTCTCGACCTGCCTCCACTCATATCCAGCAGCTCTTTCTCGGAACTAGCGAGGGCGGTCTGGAGGTCGCACTGGGAAACGGCCACCCGGCGCGGCGTCGCGGCGCTCCGAAGGGCGGCACCCGCTCGGGCCTCTCACGACCCGCCGCGGCCACCCCTACCGCCTGTCACTCGCGGGGCGGCGCGACCAAGCCTCTCGCCCGGGGCGACCAGCGGAAGCCCCGCTTGCCCAGGCAGCGGGGCGCGCCCTCTGGCCATCGGCCCGCCGGGCCCCGCCAGCAGCCCCTCGCCCTCCACGCCGTGGGCCCCCGCCACGCAGGCGCCGCGCGGACGCCCTGCCCACTCCCGCGCGGCAGCCTCGAGGGCGGCGTCGACCTCGTCGTCGCCCACTCGAACGCCGTCGCGCTCGTCGGCGGCGAGGCACCTGCCCCCCTTTCATCTGGCCGTCGACGCCAAGCTGGACGCCAACGCGCGTCGGGCCCCCGACGCCCGACGGATCGGGGAGCAGGACGCGGCCGCAGCAAGACGCCGACGCCCTGGCCCTCTGGCGGCGGGGGGCGCTCGGCGAGCGCGAACAAGTCGGGCTGAGCGAGGCCGCGCGCCGAGTCGAAGAACTCCACGATCACGCCCCCCGCGTAGCTCTCGATCATCTCGGCGAGGAACGCGAGCGAGACCTTGCTGCAAGCGACGTCCGCGGGCATCTCCTCGCCAAGGCCCGAGCGCAAGATCACCGAGACGTAGTCCGCAGACGCGAAAGACCCTCTATTGTAAGCGAGGCAGACTGCGGGCACGACTATCCTGAGCTCCGCCAACTCCCTTCAGCTAGGCCGTCGACGGCGATAGGGCCGTCGAGCTACACAAGATTGGCGCCGACGACGCGAGCCCCGCACCTTCCTCGTCCTCCTGGGACACGAGCGCCAGCGATCGGCAGCTCGAGCAGCCACGACCTCTACATCACATCGCCAGTATGCTACAGCGCGCCAGGCGGCAGCATCGTCATCACGCTCTCGTCTGGTCGAAGACCGCGACGGTGGCCGAGGTTCCCGTGGTTCTCCGCTCGGCGAAGAACCTGTCGATGCCCTCCTCTAGCGCGCGGGAACGGCGAAGGCGGTCACGCCCACTGACGTACCTGCCACCACCTAGTCTGGACGCGACCGCTGGCCGCGCGACCGCGCCTCCTTTGTGGACGCCCACGAGGTCCTCGGCCGAGCCCAGGCACTCCCAGACGGCGTAGCAGTGAAGCCCTGACGCCGGTGCAAATGTCCACGAGATGGCTGGTGGTGGCGGTGGTTCCGCCTTTGCCGACCTCCGAAACGGCCCGCAAAGAGTGGTTGCGGGCGGCCCTGGCTGGCCCTGACTCTCGTCCCCATGGCTGCCGTCCGGCGCGTCAGCCGCGCCGACGACGACCCAGGGCTCCCCAACGCCAGGCCGCGAGGCCTCTGCGCCCGCCGTCTGCTGGGGGGCGGTTTCCCCGCCCCTGGGCCCAGGGCTGGAGTAGGCCTCGAACCCTGTGGCAGGCACGTGGGTGGCCCGCGGTCGGTTCGTGGGCCCTCCACGCATCCACGCGCGAGCTCGCTCGCCTGGCGCGAGCGCGGGGCGGGCTCGGTCCGAGAAAGCTGCAGATCACACTCTCCCTCATATCGTATCCGGCGTGCTCCCATCACTATCATGAGAAGCTGCATCACCAGCAGCAGCACCACCACCACCACCATCACAATCATCACCATCAGCACCACCAATTACAATAACGACAACAACAACAACAACAACAACAACAACAACAACAACAACAACAACAACAACAACAACGACAACGACAACGACAACGACAACAGCAACAGCAGCAGCAGCAACAACAACAATCACTTTAAGACTGTTCGCCCTTCTCTGCTCGAGTGTCCAATAACGCGTATTTCTCAAAACCTCGGTACGCGCCCTCTTCGTCTTCGATCGAACCCCTTCTGGGGGGGGCGTACCTTTCTTCACTGCAGGCCGGGCCCCAGCAAGCAGCGGGGCGGCCGCGGACCGTCGGCCTGGCCAGCGGCAGCGCTGACCGTGCCGTGGACAGGCGGGACGTCCGTGGACCGTCGACCCGACCCCAAGAGGGACGGACAGGGGACCGACCACGACGACGACGACGACGACGACGACGACGACGACGACGACGGCGACGGCGACGACGACGACGACGAGCGAAAGCGAGAGCGAGAGAGAACGACAGCAGGGCCACGAAGGAAACGACGTAGGCCACGAAGGGCAGCAGCGGGGACACGAAGGGAATGCGTACGGGGCCACGAACAGCGCGAACGGGCGGGGGCCACGAAGGGCAGATAATGCGGGGCCACTGAAGACAACGATGGGGCCACTAAGGGCAGCAACTGGGCCACGTAGGACAGTGAGGGGGCCACAAACGGCGGCAGCGGGGCCACGAAGGGCATGCACATGGGGCCACGAAAGCAACGGGGCCACGAAGGGCAGCGAGGGGGCCACGAAGGGCGACAGCGGGGCCACGAAGGGCACGCATATGGGGCCACCACGGGCGCGAACGAGGGGGGGCCACGAAGGGGATACATATATGGGGCCACGAAAGGCACCGAGGGGGCCACGAAGGGCTGCCCCGGGCCACGAAGGGGAGCGAGGGGGTCACGAAGGGCTGCAACGGGGCCACGAGGGGCTGCAACGGGGCCACGAAACAAAGCGAGGGGGCCACGAAGGGCTGCAACGGGGCCACGAAACAAAGCGAGGGGGGCACGAAGGGCTGCAACGGGGCCACGAAGGGCAGCGAGATCCCGATTTCTAAGTAATCTGCAAGGGAGTCCCAAGCGTGAGCGCGACTCCTGGGTGCGTGGGCGTCGGGAGCGCGACGCTTGAGTAAAATGCAAGAAATTCCAACGCAAGGGCGCTTTTCGACATCAAATTTCAAGCAAGTTTCCAGCGCTAGCGCGACTCCAGGGCGCCAGGAGGGCGATTCCTGAATAAATTGTCAGGAACTCCAAAGCGAGAGCGCGAGCCCTGAATAAAATGCGAGGAAATCTCGGGCGGGAGCAGGGGTCTTGGCAAAATTGCGAGGAAGTCTCAGGCGGGAGCCGTCGTCGTCGAGACGCACACATCGATTGAGAAAAACGGCATGCACCGGCGGAGGGGGTCAACAATAATTATTCGTCATAAATGAAAGCTGAAAACACTAACAACAACAACAACAACAACAACAACAACAACAACAACAACAACAACAGCAACAACAACAACAACAACAACAACAATCAATTTAAGACCGTTCGCTCTTATCGGACGAATGGATCGGAGGAAGGGCGGGGAGGGCCAGAAGGAGGGGGGGGTGATTTGCGCCGCGAGCGGCAATTCAGCTTGCGCCATGGCTCGCAACACAGGTTAATAATACGTTTCGCCATGGGTCGCGCCAGAAACAGCACCACGCACCACCCCCTTCAAATAACATGTCGCGGACACCCCCACGGAGGGACGCACAGCTGCGAACTGGTGTCAGAAACAAATTTCGTGGAACCCTGAAAAGAAGCGGGATGTTCGGAAAGCGGGGCGGAGGATAATGAGAACTGCAACCGCGTCGAGAGGAGCGCGGGGACGCGGAGTGGATTGGGATGGAGTGGACAAGAGCGGGGTCCCAGGAGGAGGAGCGGCAAGGAGTGGAGAAGAGGAACTGGGAGGAGCGCGGAGGAGCGGGGGGCGCACGGAGGAATCTGGAGGAAGGGCCGGGAATAATCTGGGACGCGGAATGCGCGCGGAAGGGGCGAAGATTGTCGGGGCGGGATGGGGTTGCCCGGGGAAGAGCGGGCGGACCGCGAAAAGAACTGAGGAATAGCACAATGGAGCACGAACGAAATGAAAATGAAAAGGGAAAGAGTAGAGAAGACTGGGAAAGAACCTTGAAGAGTGGGGGCAGGTGGATACGAGCGGAGACTGGTGCGGAAACGAGGCGCGGGGGGATTGGAAGGCACCCGACAGCGCCCCATGACCTCTGGGGGGCCTCGGAATGGCCCGGATGACCACCGTGAACTTCCAGAGGCTCCGAAAACCTACAGGAACGCCCCGGGGGCCTCGTCGAGGGAGGCCTTCATTCAAAGCCTGCAGAAGAACCTGGGCCAGTGGAACACGCGCGCCTCAAAGGCCGCCAAACCGGGCCCCGGCAAGCGGCGGGCCGTCGGCCTGGCTAGTGGCAACGCTGGCGATGCACACGCCGACCCGCGGCAACCCGACCCCAAGATGGACAGACAGCGGGCCCACCACGACGACGACGACCACGACGACGGGAGGGAGGAGGAGGAAGAGGAGGAGGGAGGAGGAGGAGGAGGAGGAGGAGGAAGAGGAGGAGGAGGAGGAAGGGAAGGAAGGAGGGAAGGAGGAAGGAAGGGAAGGAGGAAAGGGAGGAGGGTGGGGGCTGAAGGGCCGACAGGCTGGCCCTCGGCAGGCGGCGAGACAGTCGCACGGATTATCGGCCTGGCTGGCTGAAGGGTCGGCGAGCCGGGCTCCAGGCGGCAGGCGGGCCCCAAGGGGGGCGGGCAGGGACGATGACGACGACGACGACGACGACGACGACGACGACGACAAGAACGATAAGGGGAGGGAGGGAGGGAGAGAGGGGAGGAAGGAGCAGGGAGGGACGGAGGGACGGGAGGGACAGCTGCGAAAGGAGAGAGAGAAGACAGAGAGAAAGAGAGAGAGACCATGCAGGGCGCGAGCGAGCGGGGGCCACGAAGGGGAATTAATCCTGGGCCACAGAGGGCAGCGACGGGGCCGCTGAGGGCAGAAACGGGGCCACAAAGGGCAGAGAGGGGGCCACGAAGGGCGACAGCGGGGCCACGAAGGGCATGCATATGGGGCCACGACGGGCGCGAACGAGCGAGGGCCACGAAGGGCATTCGTTCATGGGGCCACAAAGGGCGACAGCGGGGCCACTGAGGGCAGCAAAGGGGCCACGAAGGGCAGCGAGAGGGCCACGAAGGGCGACAGCGGAGCTACGAAGGACATGCGTATGGGGCCACGACGGGCGCGTGCGAGCGGGGGCCACGAAGGGCATAAAATGCGGGGCCATAATGGGCAGCGACGGGGCCTCTGAGGGCAGCAACGGGGCCACGAAGGGCAGCGAGCGAAGGCGCCCGCGGAACCAGTGCGGGCAGCGAGGGGCATCGAAGGCGGGCGAAGGGCAACGAGCGGCAATTGCAGTCCATAACGGGCTGGTCGGGCGGGCAGGCCCAGACGGGCGGGTCGAGCGGGCGGGTCGTTGAAGCGCAAATTCTACTTGAACCGCCAGGCAATATGTAGCGGGAGCGCGATTCCTGAGTGTCGAAGAGCGGCATCTGAATAAATTGTGAGTATCAGGCGGGAGCCGCGATTCGGTGGCAAGTTGCGAAGAAGTCCCAAGCGAGAACGCGATTCTGCAATAAATTGTCAGGAAGTATCAAGCGGGAGCCGCGATCCGGTGGGTAAATTGTAAGGAAGTCCGAAGCGAAAGCGCGATTCTTCAATGAATTGTGAGGAAATATCAGGCGGGAGCCGTTGTTGTTGCTAACCGGGGGCCGACAACACAGTTTGACCCTCAAGGCTTCCCCTGATAAAAAACTAGGTGCGAGCCCCGAGAAGGGCACTTCAGTCAAAAAAACAATGTGCACCAGACGGGGGGATCAACAAAACATATTCTTCAGAAGTGAGAGTTCAATAACAACAACAACAACAACAACAACAACAACAACAACAACAGCAAAATCAACAACAACAACAACAACAACAACAACAACAACAACAACAACAACAACAACAACAACAACAACAACAACAACAACATTAATCAGTTTAAGACTGTTCGCTCCTATCTGCTCACGTGCCAATCGATGCGTAGATCCCAAACCCTCGGTACCCGCCCTTGTCGTCTTCGATCGTACCCCCTCGGGGTATATCTTCATTACCTGCCACGTGTATGCAGTGCAGCCCCTAAAACGAGGGAAGACAGGACGGGTGGAAGGGGGAGGGAAAAGAATGGAGCACGAGAGAAATTAGCAGGAGGGGGGCAAAGAGCAGAAAACAAGTGGTAGAACCAGACGGGCAGATCGGGTGGGCAGACCCATAGCGGGAAAGGTTGGGAAGGCGGGCCCTGGCGACGAGGTCGAGCAGGCGGGTTGCTGAAGCGTGGGTCCTGCATGAATCGCGAGGAAGTCTCGAGCGATAGCGCGATTCCCAAGTAGATCGTGAGAAAAGCCAGCGTGGGCCACGAAGGGCATAAAATCCGAGGCCACAGAGGGCAGCGACGGGGCCGCTGAGGGCAGCACCAGGGCCACGAAGGGCAGCGAGGGGGCCACAAAGGGCGACAGCGGGGCCACGAAGGGCATGCATATGGGGCCACGACGGGCGCGAGCGAACGGGGGCCACGAAGAGTTTTCGCATAAGGGGCTACAAAGGGCGACAGTGGGGCCACTGAGGGCAGCAAAGGGGCCACGAAGGGCAGCGAGGGGGCCACGAAGGGCGACAGCGGGGCTACGAAGGGCACGCATATGGGGCCACGACTGGCGCGTGCGAGCGGGGGCCGCGAATGGGCAATAATGCGGAGCCACAATGGGCAGCGACGGGGCCACTGAGGGCAGCAACGGGGCCACGAAGGGCAGCGAGCGAAGGAGACCGGCGGAACCAATACGGGCAGCGAAGGGCATCGAAGGCGGGCGAAGGGCAGCAAGCGGCAACTGCAGTCATTACCGGGCTGGTCGGGCGGGCAGGCCCAGACGGGCGGGTCGAGCGGGCGGGTCGTTGAAGCGTGAGTCCTGCTTGAACCGCCAGGCAATATGTAGCGGGAGCGCGATTCATGAGTGTCGACGACCGGCATCTGAACAAATTGTGGGGAAATATCAAGCGAAGCGGTTCGGTGGCAAGTTGCGAGGAAGTCCCAAGCGAGAACGCGGTTATGCAAAACCAAAAAAAAGTCAGGAAATTTTAAGCGGGAACCGAGATTCGGTGGTAGATTGCCAGGAGGTCCCAAGCGAGAGCGCGATTCTTCAATAAATCGTGAGGAAGTATCAGGCGGAAGCCGTTGCTGTTGTTGTTGTTGTAAACCGGGGGCCAACGACACAGTTTGACCCTCAAGACTTTCCCTGATAAAAAACAAGGTGCGAGGCCCGGGAGGGGCACTTCATTCGAAAAAATACGATGTGCACCGGGCGGGGGGGGTCAACAGTAATTATTCTTCAAAATGATAGCTCAACAATAACAGCAGCAACAACAACAACAACAAATACGACAACCAAATTAACATAAACAACTACCTTACTAGTACTAACTGCATAACAACAACCGCGACAGAAAAAAACAGCAGTAGCAACAACAATAGAAACAGCAGCAACAACAACAACAATTGCATCATCATCATCACCACCAGCAGCAGCACCATCATCATCCTCATCATCATCATCATCATCATCATCATCATCATCATCATCACCAGCATCATCAGCAGCAGCATCATCATCGTCTGCATCAGCATCATCAACATCACCGTCACCATCGCCATCATCATCATCAGCAGCATCATCATCCTTATCAGCATCATCATCAGCATCAGCATCATCATCAGCAGCATCATCATCATCCTCATCACCATCATCACCACCATCATCACCATCATCACAATCACCATCAACATCACCACCATTACCATCACCACCATCACCATTACCCCGTCAGCATCACCATCATTATCGCTATCATCATCATCACCACCATCGACAACAACAACATCATCAGCATCATCAGCATCATCAGCGGCATCATTATCAGCAGCAGCATCAGCATCATCATCAGCATCACCATCATCATCATCATCATCATCATCGTAATCGTGATCCGCATCAGCATCGTCATCATCAGCAGTATCATCATCAGCAGCACCATCATCAGCACGATCATCATCATCATCATCAGCAGCAGCATCATGATCAGCATCATCATCATCATCATCATCATCATCATCATCATCATCATCATCAGCTCAGCTTCATCCCACCTCTCCCTCCCCCTCCTCCTCCTCCTCCTCCATTTCCTCTTCCTCCTACTCCTCCTCCTCCTCCTCCTCCTCCTCCTCCTCCTCCTCTTCCTCATCCGCCTCCTCCGCACCCTCCTTCATCTCCGTTCCGCCTCCTCCTCAAGCTGGTCCTCCTCATCCGCCACGTGTATTCCTCCCCTTGAAACCTTGCAACGTCGAGCGAGAGAAGAGGGAGGAGGGACGGAGAAGGACGAGGGGATGGAGGGAGAGATGGAGGGAGGGAGAGAGGAGGGAGGAAGCGAGGGAGAGAGGGAGAAAGGGAGGGAGACAGGAGGGAGGGAGGGATGGAGGGAGGAGAGAGGGAGGGAGGGAGGAGGAAGAGAGAGGGAGGGAGAGAGGGGAAGGAGTAAGAGAGGGAGGGAGAGAGGAAGGGAGAGAAGAGGGAGGGAGCGAGGGTGGGAGGACGGAGGGAGGGAGGGAGGTGGAGGGAAAAAATGAAGGCGGAGGAGAGAGGACGCAGAGGCGGACTATCGGGCCTCAGAGGAAGGACGCCGACGACCACGCCGACGACGATGACGACGACGACGACGGTGGCGACGACGACGACGACGACGGCGACAACGATGACGACGATGGGGAGGAGGACGAGGAGGAGAAGGAGGAGGAGGAGAAGGAAGAGGAGGAGGAGGAGGAGGAGAAGGAGGAGGAGGTCGACGACGAGGAGCAGGAACGGCGCAGAGGATCGGGTCGGACGAGATGGGGGGGATGGCAAAGTTCGGCTACACGCAAGAGCGACCCGAATTAGGCAAGAGTGACCTGTGGAGCGCGGCTGAAAGGAGCGCGGGATGCCTACAGCTTCGCGCTCAGCGGTCGGGGGGCCCCACTTGGTCCGCACCAGAGGTCACTCCAGCGAAAGGTCGCTCTCGAGTGTAGTCGAAAAGGGGGGGCAGCGAATCAGCTCCAAGTCGCTGTTGTTCTGCCGCGTCCTGGCGCCAAGAGCGCCAATATATCGAGGAAAGGGCCCGGCGGCGGTGTCGAAACGGGTTGCGCGCAGAAGATATTGTACCCCCACGCCTTCTTCCCTATTCCCCCCGTTTTCATCCAACCCGACCAGAAGACGAAAAATGAGGAGAAGAAGAAGAAGACGAAGAAGAAGAAGAGGAAGAGGAGGAAGAGGACGAGGAGCGCCAGCAAAGGAGGAGGAGGCGGAGGAGGAGGAGGCCTGTCCGAAGGGCGGCACGAAGGAGCCGTTGAGCGAGAACGCGAGCTTGCACTTGCCGTCCTTCGGGCGAGCGGAAAGCGCTGTATCCTCGATGAACCCTCATAGCGGTGCGCTGGCAGCAAAAGAAAGAGCAGGAGATGACAGCGATGCACCTTGTACGGGTGGCGGTTCGGGGGGCCTTGTGCACAGGGCCCCTGCCACTACCAGGAGCTTGGTGCTCCAGGGGGGTGGGTGGGTTGTCCAAAACCGGCCGAACGCCTGAGCCCCAATGGCCACGTCGGGGCGAAGCCTCTCTTACAGGTGACGGTAGAAGAAGGGCACAGGGTGACGGTGATGCCTCTCTTATGGGTGGCGGTTCCGTGGGCCGTGTGCGCAGGGCCCCTGCCACTCCCAGGAACTTGATGCCCCCCATGCGATGGGAGTGAGACACCAAGAAAGGGGGAAGGAGCCCCAGGGGTGAGGAGGCGGAACCCAGGGTCCCCCCAGACGCTGCCAGAGTCGGAGGACCATCCCACCTCGCTTCGCTCCACTTAGAAGGAGCCCCAGAAGTGAAGAGGCGGGTCCCCGGGCCCCACCGGACGTTGCGAGCGTCGGCGGCCTATCCGACTTCACCTCGCTCCACTCTCCCGCTTCACATGGCCGCCCACGTGCACACGGGCAGCGAGGGCGCGGTCTCGAAGCCCTACCCGTCCTCCATAAGGCCCTCCGCGGTTGGGGCGCCCCTCCTGCCCTGGACCCCAAGCCCCGCCGCGGCGGAGGGATGGGGGTCCACGGGCAGGAGGGGGCCCCCTTCCAGTGGAGGCGCCCACCGGAAGATGGGGGTTCAAGAAGATTCCGGAAGCGCGCCAGGATGCCGCTCCGAGCCCCCGTCGGCTCGGGTGCCGCCGCCGAGCCCCGCCCGGGCCACGTCCCAAGGCGAGCGGTCGACGGCCCGTGATCTGAATGAATCTCCTGCAATGCTAAATTGCGAGGAAATCTCAGGGGAGAGTGCCGTTTCTTTGGTTCATGCCCTCTCTGGCCAGGGCCTCTCGGAGTAAACTATGAGGACGTACCGCACGGGATCGTCGCAATTGGGGGGCAGGTTTGGGCGGTACCGCGAAACGCCTGAGCGTGAGCTTCAATTTCAAAGGAAATGCAGCCAGCGCCGAGGCGAGAGCGCCAAAGCGGATACAGGGGGTCCAGCAATAATCATGCTCTAAAAAAGAGTACAAAACACATAAAACAGATGATACCAGAGAAAAAAAACAATATGATCTTTGTTGAAGGCTATAGGGCTATGGGGCTATAGGGCTATAGGGCTGCAGGGCTATAGGGCAATAAGGCTATGGGACTATGGGACTATAGGGCTATAGGGCTTTAGGGCAATTGGGCTATAGGGCTATGGGGTTATACGGCTTCAGGGCTACCGGGCTATAGGGCTATAAGGCCATGAGGCTGTAGGGCTATTAGGGATATAGGACTGTTGGGCTATGCGGGGTATAGGGCTATTAGGGCTATAGGGCTATAGGGCTATAAGGCTCTAGGGCTATAAGACTATGAGGCTATTAGGGCTCTAAGGTTTCAGGGCTACAGGGCACTTGGGCACCGGGGCACCCGGGCACCTGGGCACCCAGGCACCCCCAGGCACCCTGGCACCCGGGCACACGGCACCCGGGCACCCGGGCGTGCGGCGAAAATCGGCGGCAAACCGAACCTATAATGATACCAGAGAAAAGCCCCAATCATAATCTTTTGAGGGCTGTAGGGCTATATAGGGCTGTAGGGCTATAGGGCTATTGGGAGATGGGGATATAGGGCTACAGGGCTATATGGGCTAAATGCGCTATGGGTCTAGTAGGCTATTGGGTTATAGGGCTATAGAACTATAGGGCTATAGAGCTATAGGGCTATAGGGCTTTAGGGCTATAGGGCTATAAGGCTGTAAGGCTACAGGGCTATTGGGCTATAGGGCTATATAACTATAGGGTAAGGCTATAGTGCTCGAGGGCAATAGATCACCTGGGCACCCGAGCACCCAGGCACCCCCGGGCACCTCCGGGCACCCCCGGGCACCCCCGGGCACCCCCGGGCACCCAGGCACCCGGGCACCCCCGGGCACCCGGGCACCCAGGCGTGCGGCGAAAATCGGCGGCAAACCTAACCTAACCATATGAATCCGCTAGGACCCCCACACAGGCAAGCTCTGATTGGGGAACCATATGGATCCGCTAGGACCCCTACAGAGGCAAGCTCTGATAGGGGAATGTTTTGCTTCGAGCGATCCCCACCGAAACCTTCGGCGTTAGATTCCGAAGGTGCGCGCGCTCATTTGAACGATTTGCGCGGGGCGCGGTGGTCTCGGCCAGTGCGGCGGTTGGGGGCCATGTCGCAAGTTGTGTTGTGAGGTGTGGTGTTATGCGATGCTCTCTGTGTGACCAATTATGCGATAGCGCATCTTGGTACGATATGTTATGTGTTGTTACGATCTAGCATATAGTGCCGCGCTCTGTCATGTTATGATTTGTGAGTATGGAATGATACGTGATGTGATGCTGTGTTGTGTTGTAGTTTGTTCGGTCATGGTACATTGTGTGATGTTATGTTATGCCATGTTATGGTATGATATGGTATAGTGTGGTATGTCATGTATGCTCCGATGTGTCATATAATGCGTTGTTATGCTATGATGTGTTCTGACATGTTATGGCATGTTGTGTGATGTTGCGGTAAGTTAGGTCTTGGTATGTTCAGTTATGCGCTGATGTGTTATGGCATGCTCGCTTTGTCAGATTATGGAATGATATGTGCTGTGATACTGTGCTTCAGTATGCACTGCTCTGCCGTGGTGTGGCATGTTGCGATATGGTACGTCATGATATGGTCTGTTATGCTTGGATGTGTTCTGTTCGGCGGTGTGGTGTTATGGTGTTATGCTCTATTCTGTGGGGGACCTGGGGATCTGGCGGCCGGGGAATGCAGAGTGGGCGAGTCGGCACGGAGGGCAGGACCATCAGGGATTACCGGGGGACCTGGGGATCTGGCGGCCGCAGTGTGCAGAGTGGGCGAGTCGGCGGGGGGGGGCGGGACCACCAGGGATTATCGGGAGCCTGGGGATCTGGCGGCCGCGGTATGCAGGGCGGGGGGGGGGGGCGGGACCACCAGGGATTATCGAGGGACCTGGGGATCTGGCGGCCGCGGTAGGCAGGGCGAGGGGGGGGCGGGACCACCAGGGATTATCGGGAGCCTGGGGATCTGGCGGCCGCGGTATGCAGCGCGGACGGGCCCAGAGATCTGTTCTTGAAATCTGACGACCCCAACCTGTCAGGTGGGGAAAAACGAAAACTGAGAGGAACCCTGGGCCCACCTGTGGGCGACGCCCCAGCTGCGGATGGGGGAGGGGCACCTGCCGAAGGGGCCGGCCTCCCATTCGCGATGCTGGCCCCCGTGTCCTGCCCGCAGGTGAGGAGCACCCCGATGATGTCCCCCTCCATCCACGGGGCGCCAAATGACTCACCGTTCCGCCACAATACATCGTCGGCGGCGTCCTCCCCGCCGTCGCCATCTTCCTCGTCGCCCTCTCCCTCCTCTTCTTCGTCGTCGGTCTTCTTGGGCTGCTCGCCGTTCTTCTCCTTGCTCTCTGCATCCTTTTCTTCTGCTTCCGCATCGTCGTCTTTGCACTTGCCATCCTTTTCCTCTGCCTCCTCCTCCTCCTCCTCCGCTGCAGCCTTAGTGGCCTCGCCGCCCTCCTTCGCAGCAGCGTCCTCGCTCTTGCCGCCCTCTTCCTCCGCATCCACCTTCTCCTTCTCGCCGTCTTTCTCCTCCGCCTCGCCACCCTCACCACCGCCATGCTGCTTCTCCTGCTGCTTCTCCTCCAATGCCGTACACCATTTGGCGCTTGTCTCATCTCCCTGGGTCTTAGCGAACTCGCCAAAATTCATTACCTGCAGCACGTTGGACCCTTCGAAGGTGGCACCGCCGAGCGCTTTCGTCGCCGCATCCATCGCTGCAGTTTCCTGGAACGTGGCTGCGGCGACTCCCTCTGTAGCGCCCCCCTCGCCGAAAAGCATGAGCCGCTCATTTGGGCCGTGGGGGTCCAACAGCTTGGCCAGCGGCACCATTATCTCCTCGCGCTTCTCTTCGGCCTCGTCGCCCGCCTCGACCTTCGGGAGCCCCAGCACAAATATCGTGAGAGGGAACTTGCCGTCATCTTTCGATTTCCTCTTCTTCTTGGGTGCACCCTCGCCGATGTCGAGCTTGACGTGTGTTTTGCCGCCGATCACGGCGGCCCGTTCCGCCTTCTTCGGGTTCTTCTTGATCACACCCCAGCCCACGCACGGCTGGGACTTCCCAAGCTTCAGCACCTCCACTTCAGCGTACCAGGTGCCTTCTCGCACCGGGAAGCGCGAGAAGAGCGCTGCGCCCTCCAGAGAGTCCCCGAGCGGCGTCATCGCACTGTCGTCGTTGTCCTCGACGACCACGATGGCGCCGTCCGCGTACCAGTCTGTGTTTCCGCCAGGTGCCTCGACCAAGAACGGGGTGGTCGTTCGGTCGTCCGTGACGAGCTTGCCAATCTGGCCCGGTTTCAGGCACATCCCCTCGCCGTCGTAGAACTTGTACATCTTAGACAGCTTCACCTTGTCCCCCTGCACTGGACGGCGCCCGCTCTTCTCCAGCCCGATCTTCACCACGCACCTCTTGCTGTCCCACCTGGAACCCTCGTCGATCCGTGGCCTCAGGCTGGCATTCACCGCGCGGGTCCCGATGTGCCGCGCGAGCCAGCGGCCGGTCTTGTCCCCGTGGCGCCAAGTGCCGCGGAATGCCTGGTCTGCGGCCAGCTCACCCTTGAAGCTCCCGCCAGACCACCGGGCGTCGCCGCCTCGGAGCTCGAACTCCAGCTGCCGCGACAGGGCAGCAAACGAGCCCGACACGATCGGCCTCTTGCCGCCGCCCTCCGCGAGCATCGGGCCCGCCAGCGCCACCCCGGAGACGCGCAGCGTGTGCGAGGCGAGTGCGTCGGCCTCCGCGCCCGCAGGGTGTGCCGTCATCCAGGCGTTGAACGCGTGGTCCATAGGCTCGCCCCCGGACTGCACCTCGAAGTGCCAGATGCCGCCGAGTCTCGACTCCCGCAGCACCTTGCAGCCCTCGACGGTCCCGTGGGACCCGTCCTCCGCCCTCCACGTGCCCGTGAGTGTCGGCACCTTGCCCTCCTCGGCGGAGAGCGCCGCGTCGACGTAGGCCGCCGGGCAGCCGTCGTCGCCCTCGACGTCCAGGAGCAAGGACTGCAGGTCCAGGCGCCCTCGCGCCGTCCAGCCGGCGCTCTTGCGGATCGGGTTCTGCGGCGGGGCCTTCTGCAGGGCCACATAATTGGCCCTGGTCGACGGGAGCGCCAGCCAGTCCTCGTCGGTGAGCACCTGGGCGTCGTCCTTGCCTCCGTTGGCCCTCTCCAGGTTCCAGATCCTGTAGTACGTTGCTCGCTGTCGATCCTTCGTGGACGGGGACCAGACCAGCGCCCTGCTCGGGTCATAGCTGAGGAACTGCTCGAGCTCACCGGTCATAGTTCCCTCCTTGTCCAGCGCCCCGTACGGGAAGACATCGTAGAAGTGCGTGTCCGTCGAGTTGGGCGACAAGCGCACCATGTCCCCTTCCTTTGGCACTTCCGCACAGATGCGATCCTCTATCACCTCCGGCTCCCGCTGGAAGAGGCTTAGTCCCCGCACTACTTCGGCGATAGCAGAGGCCGCCTGCTCGGTCTGCCGAATGGCGATCGGCACCTCGTCGCCCTTCCGCCCGACGATCGCGCGGAAGTGCTGCACGTTGCGCCAGCCGAGTGCCTCCCAGGACCGTCCTGTAACATCAATCGCATGCTCGAGGTAGTCTTTCCATAGTGCATCTGTCAGCATGCGCTCGTTCCCACCATAGTCGCCGCCGAATGTATCCTCGATCACCTTGTGGCGCTCTGCGCCAATGGGGAGCATCACCTTGAAGACCTCCTCGCCAGAACCGTCCGCCGACCTCCGCCCGCGAGCTGGCCGGACTCGCACGCCTCCACTGCGGGGGTCGCACGTGATCTGCATGGAGAACATCAGGCCGTCGTCTGGGGCACGGGACGCAGGATCCTCTCGGGGCACAAAAAAACTTCACAAACAGAAAGTCTCTGGGGTCCGCGCGGATTTCTTGAATCAGCCCCAGACCCCCCCCTGGCGCGCGGAGCGCGCCCGGGGCGGCGCCAGAGGCGCGGCCAGAGGGGCCCAACGCCGATCCAAGAAACCCGCGCGGACCTCCGAGAAACCACGCACCCTTTTGCCCTTTTCTATTCTTCCATCCTCGCCGCCCGCCGCCGGAGGGACGGCGGCAGACCCGTCGTCGGGCGGCACGGGAAAAGGCATGCGCTCGGAAACCTCCTGCTGCGCGCCCTGCGGCAGCGGAACGCCCGCGGCGCCGTCGTCCGACGTGATGGTGAAGCGCAGCTGCCACTCGCCGGCGACCTGCGTAGCCGGGGAGCTGCGAGCGCCCGCGATCTTCTCCCGCTTGCGGCGCGAGAGGACCCGCGGGTTGTGCATCCCCTCGGGCGCGATGTTCCCGTTCTTCCAGATGAACACCTTGCCGGTCTTCTGCTCCTCCTCTGGGACGTCGAAGTTCGAGGGGTCGTCCAGGCTGCGCGGGATGTCTAGCACGATCAGGCGGTCCGACTTCCAGGGCAGCTGCGGCACGCGGAACCAGAGGGTCAGGGTGTAGGCGTTCAGCTGGCCGCCGCCGGCGGCGCGTAGCTGCAGGTCCCGCACCACCAGGCCCGCGCCTGGCTCCAGCATGGCGTAGCTCTTCCCCGAGGAGCCCGCCCCCCACGACTCTGGCAGCATCTCCACCATGCCGATCGCGTACGTCTCCTTCGGCAGCCGGGCGGTCTGGAAGCTGTAGTCCGTCCAGCCCTCGCCCGTCTCTGGGTTCTGCCCGATCTCCTCTTCGATGAGAACCTCGATCACCTCAGGAGGATCGCCAACTATACACACCCACACCGTTCCTGGCTAGGCCCAACCTGGCCTGGCCAGAAGCGCACATACCTCGATCCTCGGGCCTGGATCACCTGGCCAGGATCGGTGTGAGCGTATACCCAAACATCCGACGGCGCGACTTTACCACGTAAGCCATTAGAGATCGAGGAGGAAGTCGACTACAGAATTGGTGTACCCCTAAACTGCCATTCTTCATCGAATTGAAAACCTGTAGGACAAGTTATATATCTGTGTGTTCTGTAGATTCTACGAACCAAAGGCAGCTGGGATTATGCAGCCAACCTCCTACTCGAAAAGGTCTCGACCCCTTCTCGGGGACCGGCTTCGCGTTCTGAGTCGGTTGCTTCGTGCCCCCAGGGGCGCGGTAAGGCCCCCTAGAGACCAGAAGCGGCTGCAGACCTGTCGTCGTGACTCTCTCGCGACGCGAACCCCAGATATCCTACGATATGACTTTTCAAGACCGCGGCCCCGGAGCTGCAGTTTTGCATCCCGAAATAGTTGTTCATGGCTCCTGGACCCGAGAGCGGCCCCAGGAACCCGAGGAGGAGGAAGAACGCCACGACTGGAAAAAATATGTCGGAGATCTGGGACAGCTGACGCCCTCCGACGCCTCTCGTCGCGACTCTGGCCCGAGTCCGCTCAAGATCGGTGCCTGGACCCCTCCCGGGATCCATCCTGGCCCGTTTGTCGAATCGGGTCCAGCCGTGGCGACGAGAGGCCTCCAGGAGGCCCAGAAACAAAAAGTGCCTCGACTGGACGCGGAAAGCCGACGACGCCCGGCACCTCCTCCCGGGACCGCGACTCCCCAGACCTTTCCTGGGTGCGTTCTGACCAGAGTTCCGCAGAACATCCAACCGCGGCGACCAGGGCTCCTCCAGGACGAGCAGCAGTATCGATACCTTCTCCTCCACTGGTCGTCGCGATTGTCTCGCGACGCGGACAGCCGACGCCCCTTGGCACCTCCTCCTCCTCCTGCTTCAGGCGCTCCTCCTCGGCCTCGACCTTCCGCTGTGCGGCGCGCCGACGGTGGACCTCCTCCTCGACGTCGCCCGCGGTGATGTTCACGTCGCTCACGCCCCTCCTCTGGGGAGCGTCCAAGATGGGGGGAAGGGGGTGGGGTGGTGTTGGGGGGGGGGGGGGGGGGCAAATCATGGCCCGAGGTATGGGCGGTGACGGGGGGGGGGCCAGGGAACTCACTGCCACTGAGAGAATGAGCACAGTAGTGGTAGTGGTAGTGGTAGTGGTAGTGAAAGTGGAAGTGGTAGTGGTAGTGGTAGTGGTAGTGGTAGGGGTAGTGGTAGTGGTAGTGGTAGTGGTAGTGGTAGTGGTAGTGGTAGTGGTAGTGGTAGTGGTAGTGGTAGTGGTAGTGGTAGTGGTAGTGGTAGTGGTAGTGGTAGTGGTAGTGGTAGTGGTAGTGGTAGTGGTAGTGGTAGTGGTAGTGGTAGTGGTAGTGGTAGTGGTAGTGGTAGTGGTAGTGGTAGTGGTAGTGGTAGTGGTAGTGGTAGTGGTAGTGGTAGTGGTAGTGGTAGTGGTAGTGGTAGTGGTAGTGGTAGTGGTCGTGGTAGTGGTAGTGGTAGTGGTAGTGGTAGTGGTAGTGGTAGTGGTAGTGGTAGTGGTAGTGGTAGTGGTAGTGGTAGTGGTAGTGGTAGTGGTAGTGGTAGTGGTAGTGGTAGTGGTAGTGGCGATGGTAGTGGTAGTGGTAGTGGCAGTGGTCGTGGTAGTGGTCGTGGTAGTGGTCGTGGTCGTGGTCGTGGTCGTGGTAGTGGTAGTGGTAGTGGTAGTGGTCGTGGTCGTGGTAGTGATAGTGGTAGAACGCGGTCTACACGGAGTCCGTCGCGCAGTGCGAAAACGACCGCGCCAGAATGGGCGAGCCAAAAAGAAGGCCCCCCCTTGGCACCCATGGGCGCCGACCCCAAAAGACCCACCTAGACGGGCTCACGGCGGGGACGGCGCGAGAGCGCAGACGATGTGCCACGCGAAACGTGAACGATCACATCACCGTAGCAACACACCGCGAGGGCCTCATAGAAAGTTATGAGAACCAACCACAAATGTAGTCAACGCTTCCGTTGAGAAGAAGTTGAAACAGAAACATGTATGACGTTAATGGTGAAACGTAAGTCCGATCAACTGCAGCTCAGGATCTCCCACCTCCAACTGGCGGATCTTAGGGATATCTTCAGTGCGGCGCTTGTCAGACGGATGCTTGCTCCTGACCCTGGTTGCGTGCGTGTGAGTCCGAGCGGAATATGGCGGTGGAGGACAGGGGGCACGCAAACTTGATGTGCCCCCCGAAGAGATGCCTCCAAACTTCATACAAATCACAAAAACTCCTGGAGAAACAAAAAGCTGATGCCCTCTCGCTGACACTGGTGGGACCACCCCACTCACAGGAAGAGGCCTCTCAGGCGCGGTGTGGTCCTTGGCCGAAATATTTCTGACTTTGCTGCCTGCTCCACGCAAACGCTGCGATGGTACATCTTCGCCCATTGACTCTGGAGGGAGGATCCTCTGAGCAACGCGCCTTGATTCAAAATTGCCAACTGCATCCTCAACAAACTCACGATCACGGGCAGCGAAACTGACACGGGTCGACATGTCCTGCTGACTGTCTGTCGAGCCAGCAGGGGTCAAATCTCTCAGCGCGCCCGATTGCTCCTCCTCCCCAGCTCAGGACGACCCGACGGCGTCGACGGATCCCCCTCCACGTCAGGCGGGTGCGTGGCACGACCAAAACACAGGCGTTTGGCAGGGCAGGGACCTTCAGGCTCCATGGCTTCAGCAATCTGCGCCGATGGGCCTTGGGACTCAAGCGGATCTCCCTCCCGCTCCCGACGACGGGACGACGACGAGCTCCCAGCCGCCCCCCCCCCCGATACTGCCAGCGGCTGCCGCCAATAAAGTGAGAGCAATGGCGGCTCGTCTGGCGTTAGCCTCAGGATCATGCGACGTCGACCGCTCACTGCAACCAGGGTCGGTGCGGCTCAACAGGTTGCGATTCTGGACCTTTTTTGACGGGACACTCTCCTCTGCTCAGCTTGGCTCGCTGCGAAGCAGTGTATACAATACGAGTACACAGCACACATCTCCAACCACGAAAATAAGGATAGACATTGCGCCTCAAACCGTCAAGGACACCAGCTGCTGGCTTGACAGCGCCAAGAGCTGATTGTATCTTCTTCTTGCGTTTCTTGGCAGGAGTTCCAGAATTGTCCAAAAAACTGTAGTGAGACTTGACTTGCCATCGAAGTAGCTTAGCTACCTCCTCCAATCCTGTCTTAATCTGGCGACCTGTTTCCTTCGATACCGAATGCAGATCCCGCCCACGACCTCAACTTGGGCCTCCGTGGCGCATGCGGACGGCCCCACTGGGGCCTCAAGTGGACTATATGGGGCCACGAAACGCTATACAGGATGGGCGAAAATGCCAAATTGGGCGTGCCGGACGCATGCGGACGGTCCCACTGGGGGCTTCGGTGGAGCTTCCTATGGGGCCACGAACGCTGCAGTGGGTGGGTGAAACTGCCAAGTTGGTGTGGCGGACGCATGTGGTACCCCCCCACTGGGACCTTAGGTGTACCTCCGTATGGGGCCACGAAATGCCGACCGCACTGGGTGTGGCGGACGCATCTAATACACCGCCTAGCGCCTAAGGTGGAGCTCCCGATGGAGCCACAAAAAGCTATACTGGGTGTGGCGGACGCATGTGGTACCCCCCCCCCTGGGGACTTAGGTGGAGCCCCCTCTGGGGCCACGAAACGCCGTACTGGGCGTGGCGGACGCATGTGGTACCCCCCCTGGGGCCTTAGGTGGAGCCCCCTATGGGGCCACGAAACGCCGTACTGGGTGTGGCGGACGCATGTGGTACCCCCCCCCCCCTTGGGGCCTTACGTGGAGCTCCCTATGGGTCCACGAAGCGCCATGCTGGGTGTGGCGGACGCATGTGGTGCCCCCCCCTGCGGCCTTAGGTGGAGCTCCCTATGGGGCCACGAAACGCTGTACTGGGTGGGTGAAACGAATGAGGGGGGAGGGGGAGGAGGAGGAGGAGGAGGAGGAGGAGGAGGAGGAGGAGGAGGAGGAGGAGGAGGAGCAGGAGGAGGAGGAGCAGGAGGAGGAGGAGGAGGAGAAGGAGGAGGAGGAGTGAGTGAGTGAGTGAGTGAGTGAGTGAGTGAGTGAATGAGTGATTGAGTGAGTGAGTGAGTGAGTGAGTGAGTGAGTGAGTGAGTGAGTGAGTGAGTGAGGGAGGGAGTGAATGAGGGGGTGGGACGCGGGGCGCTGTCTCTTCAAAACGAGGACCCAATACCACAGGATGGTTAGGAAATGGAAGAAGAAGAAGAAAAAGAAAAAGAATAAGAAGAAGAAGAGGGGGCGATAGAAAATAGGAGATCTCGCGGCCCCCGCCATGATGCCCACATGCACGCACACGCACACACATGTTTTGCTCTGGCGGCTAGGCAGAATGACTGCGCTGGTGGAAGAGGCATAACAGGGCAAACGGCACGCAAGCACCATGCAAGGGGAGGAGGACCTGGTCTGGACCATATGAGCACCCCTGATCTGGCCAGGACTCGGTAGCACAGCATGCAATCACAGCGAAGGAAAAGACATGCCACTCTTTGGGGACAACCCTCGCGCGAGGCGAGACAATACGCTAGCACCAGCCTTTGTGGGGCCAACAGACGGCCTGCCTTCAGCGCGGGCCTTCGCAACATGACACTCTTCGCTCAGGAGCTGAGCGGTGGAGACACAATATCGCCCGCACGCTCGGCAGTACAGAACGCCCCTCAGAACCGACAAATCGTGCGAGGAATGGGCCCTCATCGCCGCAGGATGCGCAATTACAGCTTCGCGCCCAACCTGCGGTCTCATCTCGCGCGCCCCCAGACATCTACCCGGCCGGAAGTTGCAGACCTGACCGCGAGTAGCATCAAAGGTGCGGCGACAAACCGTGCACACAAATCGGGTTCCATGCATCCGAGGAGCGTGACCTGCAGCGATCAGTCTCTGCTTGCGCGTGAAATGGGATGGGATAGCGGGAGGCCGGGGCGGGGGGCGACCAACACGATCAGACCGCAAGCGCCGGCAGGTCAGGCTGACCTCTCGGGTCACAACCAAAAGACGATTCAAGACGCGCGAGGTCATATCATCAACCTCGTGCAAAACCTGAACATGCTCCTCAGGAATCTCACCCAAGGCGGCAGCCTTCCCAGCGAAAAAATCAGCACAAAAATTCAAGAAAAACTCAACCTCAGAAATGCCCCAAGCCTCACGGACACTACGACTTGAATGAGCTTTGGTCCAGATCACCTCGACACGGCCATCACGAGCGTCGAGGAGGTCCCAGATTTGGACCCACAGGTCCAGCATCGGGGAGGATTTGGCCACCCAAGATCGATCCCGTCTAAGGCCCCAAACGAGAGGAAGATAATCAGAATATGCAACTACGTCGCCCGTCGTGAAAGTAAGCAGCATAATCAATGCAAACAACTCCGAGCGCGGGCTCGACTGAGTCCGAGTAGGGAGAGTCCCCGCCAGAATCGCATCACATCGAAACTCAAAATCGTCGACGCTAGCCTCGTCCAGCCGAACGACCGCCCAACCACAACGACGAAGACGATGATCCTTAGCCCACTTCCCTCCTGACCCATCGAGCCCAAATCGGCCGCCTCGTACCGCACGTCCATCCGAGAACAGGCCCCAAGCCTGTTTCACATATCGGCGGAGGTAGAGGGGCGACAGCAGCAGCAGGAGTGGGAATACCTCGGTTCCAAAATGCTGAACGTTCGTGCTCATCATGTAAGGCTGTCTGGACGAGCTCCCGGGACCTGGGCAAGTGGACCGAGTCAATCTGATCGTTGGAAGAGCAGCCCCAGACACGGTGTAGCGTCGTCTCACGGGCGACGCCACACCGAGGGCACATGCCATCAGTCAAGTACCCCGCATCCTGAAGCCGAGCCTCAGGCCACGTGCCGCCAGAAACAATGCAGCAGAGTAGGGCAGTATCAGAATAACTACCATCTTTGACCAACTTCGCATGCATACTCTTGAATACGGTAAGGTCAGCACCCCTTTCAAGACCATCCCCACAAAAATGATTCGACGCCTTACCCCACAACATACGATCCAACGTACTCTGCACAGCATTCGTGAGGTGGAATGGAAAATCACGAGCCTCAATGCTCAACACTCCAACTGGCGTAGACCATGAGGTAACGGAGTCAGGGCCCCATTCGAGATCGAGCAGAGTGCAGACCGTGGCAGCAATGGGACCACGAACAGTGCGCCATCGACGCGGCGCATCCAACGAGAGTAGCCTATCACGCTGCTTGGTCCAGGTCCTCTGCACACCCACACGCTGACCAGGAGACAGACAATGCCACACACCAGCAAGAGCCTGAAGCTGCTCCTTACGCATACGGAAGGCAGGATCATCAACATGTTGATCACCAATGCTCAACACCGTGGTCGTGCACGCTCCCGGACTCCAATGGCCCGAGCATTGGGCCGCCTGGGACCTGAAACCCTGAACGTCTGCCATCGTGAGGCCGACCACGGAATGACTCCAAGACCCCACCGAGAGCACCCCAGGCTTGTAGACCTTTTTAGCTTTACCACATAGACGGGCAAGGTAAGCGAGCTTACGAGAGCGTCGGAAGGCAGTACGTCGTCGCAGCTTCACTTTCCATGTGCACCGTCGCTTACCTGCCGTCGTCATCACACCTAAGTCCTTTACCTCGGTAGTGAACTTCACTGGAACACGTGCGTACCCAAAAGCTGCACCTAAATCGCGAGCAAGATCAGCAGAGGACGCAACTGCTGCAGACTTGGCCGAGATGATGCAACCGAGGGACTGAACATCCTTGAAATGCCGCCGCTGCCCCAGGAAGGGAGCTGACCACGTAACGGCGAGAGCCATGAACATACTGAGTAATATCGTCGACGTATGACCGAATCGGAACAACTGGCAACCTCCGGTGCGCACGATCGAGTACATCATGTAAGTATGCTTTCACCCATGGCATCGACTGTCCGCAGCCCGCCAAAATGGAACGACCCGTAGAAATCACATCAGAAATCGTACCAGCGACTTCGAGCAGTCTAGGGCAGGTGTGGAACACGACACCGAAGTAGAGCAAGTGAGGAGGGTAGCCAACCTTCAGAGCGAGCTGAACCAACAGCGACGGAATGACAAGGTCGAAGAATTTCTCCATATCCCAATGAAGAGAAGCAGAATCAAACCCAAGGGTGCCAGCGACTTCATGGCACAATTCGCGAAGCAGGGCGGCCTGGAGGGCAGATGATCCCTTGACTGCGCTATCCCAGAAGTCAGTGTGTGCTGCACTCCAAGCGTCCACATCATCACCTCGCATGCGCACATACATCCGGTACATCGTCGAACATTTAGAAACAGCACGCTCATCTTTCTCAGATTTCGGAAGCAAAGCCATGACATTCAAGTAGCATTGCTGGGGGAAGGCCATCACCTTCTCGCACTGGTTGAATATGGCAGCGAGGGAGAACAAGGCTTGGCCGGGCAGGTCCAGGAAACTGCGCGGAGACCATTGATCAACCCCAACCGCCGTCGTTCCAGAAAATCTCAAAGCGGCCTGCACAACATCTTTGGGAGTAAACTCAGGAACCTCCAGGAGCGCCAGCTGGGCTTCAGCCCGAAGTTCATCCAGGGTCTCATTCAGGAGCTTCAGATGGTCCGAAGTAGGGGTCCAGAGGGCACTCCAAAACTCCTTCCGGTACTCCATCATGCTGCCGGGAGTCTGTCGGACACCATCAGGTGCGACAAGGTACTCGACGCTGAGCTTGTCTTCTGCCTTTAGCCATGCATGAACCTTACGACCTCCGCCAGGCAAAGCTGCCTGGAGCCACCTCTTAACACCTGAGAAATTGGCAGCACGAACTTTAAAAACAGCTGCCGTGCATACATCAGCTGCGCGATCAATCAACACTCGAACTGCATCAGCGACCGCGGACACGGAAAAGAGGTCGTCATGCCAGCGCTGGGCATCCAGCGGACCTGCGAGCGGCTCCAGAAAAGAATACACTTTGCATGCCTGGGAGATGATGAAAGAGCGGAGACGCCGAGCATGCACAGACCAGCTACCGCGCCGAACTGCCCGCCAATACTCGTAAAGCCGGGAGTAAACCATAGACCAGAAACACAAGTACGGGGAAGTGAAGGCTTGCTTGCACTGGCCTCGCCTCCGCAGGGACCCCGAGAACCGCCTAATAGAACTGCCACGTCCTACAACAGCGTCAATATCCTCCAGGAGAGCGCATCCCCGCGAAACATATATCATCTCAGCAGCCCGTGACCACAATGCGTAATCTTCAGAGAGAGGAACGTCAACGTGGGCCAAGGTATGCTCGAGAGTAGCCTCGCGAAGATCATCCGGGATGTGAAATTCAAAGCCGTGCTTACACGCCATGTCAAGATAATGCGGCCACAGATGATCAGGACCAAAAGCCGCCGGCAACGCAGCAGCACGAGAACGACGACAAACTTCCTGGGTAGTCACATCAGCGGGAATGCGAACGTGCAAGCATGCATGTGTCTTGAAAGGCGAATCAGGGATGGCGCGCACACGCGCGTACGGAGCCAGGCCAGAGGAACACACAACGTAATCAATCATGGTGCATCCCACGCTACACGTAAATTCAACATTAGCAGGGACAACAGCACGGGATCGTGTAAGGCCCAAGAAACCAGAGTCGCACAGGAGACCAGGATGCATATTGAAGTCCCCGTGGAGGACCCAGGGAATACTCAGGCAATTCACGAAGTCCGAGATTTGCTTCAAGCGGACAAGGTTCTCACCTACGGCCCCCAACGAGGCCACCAAATAGACGACGCCCACGGCCATCGAGTAACCATGCAACTTAAGCTCCAAAAAGAACCAGCAATTGCCAGAGCCAACCTGGACCACTTGAGAGACCACGCCCAAGAATCGCTGGACAAGTAAACCTTTCTGCGCAAAGCAAGCAACCCCCCCATGTGTGCCACCACCTGGAGAGTCAACAGCATCTTGAAAGTACGGGTCCCAGCCCATCACCCTCACGTCCTTCTTAGCCTTAGCCACCCCCTCAGCACGGAGATGGTGTTCGGCGACGAACACAGCATCCGCCTCCGAGACACGAGTGGAAAGAAAGCCCTTAGTAATATCAGACCAACCCGTGACATTCACGAACAGGAACTCAAGATCGGACGAGCGAGACCGATCACTCGCGCGGCGGCCTGCACTCGGCAGGCTGCTAAACACGCTGCTGAGGCGCCTGCGCGGCTCCACCGGCCGACGCCTCAGGGAAAGCACCGAGCTGGGCGGCCGCCGCCTGACAGAAAGCGACAAACGTGTGGGAGCTCTGATGCTGTACAATCCTCCTGGCCTTCTTGGCGGCGCGCTGCACCGCCTGCTTGCTGACGAGCTCGCCGTAACGCACGGAGGCGGGGCCATCAAGGCCTGCTTCTGCCGCACGCTTGCGCAGCTCACGCAGCTCACCAAGCTCACCTTCAGGAAGATGGCGATCACCAAGATCACTGCCAGCATCGGAAGCCATATCGGCCTCCATCTCCACCTCGGCACGCTGCTGAATGGCCACCTTCCGCATCTCCCGCCACTGCTCCGGGGAGAGGTGGGAGCGACCGTGGAAAGTAACAAGGCCTTCTTCAGAGACCTCGTGGAGGTGTTCCTGGATCCAACTCCAATCGATGCCGCCAAGAGCCGTGAGGCCCGGCGCGGCAGGCCCAGCAGGGGCCCCCGGTGGGCCGCCAGCAGCGCCCAAGCCGCCGCCTGCCGCACGCGCTCCTGGTTCCCCATGGCCGGCGCCAGGGGCGGGCGCGGGGGAACCGCCAGGCGGGGGGCGCAAACCCGCCTGGCCCGGAGGGGCGGCCCCAGGCGCAGCCCGGGGGGCAGCGGCGCGGGCCATCTCCGCTGCGCGGGCCGCCGCGGCAGCCTCGGTGCGCTCCTCCTCACGAAGCGCAGCGCGGTAGGCCTCCTCGTCGAAGCCATCCTTCGCGGCCAGCGCCGCAGCAGAGCGCGCCTTCGCCTCCGCGAGCCGCTCCACCGACTCGGCGTGGGCCCGGTCAGCCTGCTGAAGGGCTTCGCGATGCCGCAACACGCTGGCCAGCCGGTTCTCGACCTCGGACTGGCAGATGCGCTCCTTCTTCGACGCTGCCTCGACCTCCTTCGACAAATGAGTGCGACGAGCGGCCACCTTCTTGTCCATCTCGCTGGCCGTCGCAGGCGGGCGAGGCTCGGCCACGGCGGCCGCAGGGGCCACGGAGGCCTGGGCTCCGGCTGCCGTGAGCACATGGGCCATGGAGGGGAAACGCGCAGCCAACTCTTGAAGATGAGCAGCGAGGGCAGCGTTATCATCAGGCCCATCAGCATGAGGAGGAAGATCACAGTGCTAGCTGCCGCCACACTTGCTGCACGACCGGTTGCCGTGGCGGTCGTACTCCCAGTGGCCGCATGCTGAGCAGACAGAGTAGGTGTCGCGCCCACGGCGTCCTCCTCCTCCGTTCCGCTGCGACCAAGAATCCCCCTTCTTCTTCTTCGCGTCGTACCACGGTGTGTTATACTTCCACGCCATAGCCGGCACAAGATGTTGCTCCGCCAGGAGCTCACACAGATTACGCCACCCGCACCTGGGCGGACAGGCACGGGTGAAGGCTCACAATGAGCCCGAAATATGGAAGCAAGCCGCGGTCCAGCGGTATCCCTTTCGCCTGGAGGCTGGACAGCCCCCCAGGAAAACATCTTGAGCCAAAATGGCTACGGATGCAAGGGGAGGAGGAGGAGGAGGAGGAGGAGGAGGAGGAGGAGGAGGAGGAGGCGACCGGCGACGGCAGGGAGAAGGGGGGGAAGCCAGGCCCACTCACAGCAGGGCGCGGCAGGGCTGGCACTGGGGGGGCGGGGGCCAGCGGCGGCGGGGCACCAGCCGGCAGGAGAGCCGGGGGCAGCTGCAGGGCAGCGGGCCGCGGCGGGGAGCGGGGCAACCAGGCCAGACGAGCTGGAACGAAAGCGAACGCAAGCAGCACGCGCCGGGCCCCCCACAGGAGGGGGCGGCGGCCCGCGGCGACGGGCGAGGCGGGCAAGCACGGCTGATGACACAGCCGAGGATCTCGAAGCAGCACATTGCAAGGCCGCGTTCCGGGGGCGGGGGGCACGGCCTGAAAATCACGCACGGCGGGGGGGGGGGGGAGGGGGCGCGGGCGGCAAGACCAGCCCAGGCCGCAAGGCGAGGGGAACGCGGACAGAAATGTCGGGCGGCGGCGGGCCCGCTAACCCGGCAAGGGCCGCGGGGGGGGGCGCCAAGTAGGCACCGAACTGGCGCAGTCGCTGCGAGTGCCAGTGTGACAAGAGGTCAGGGACACCTAGCCGGCGCGGGCAGGCGCGGGGCGAAGCGGCGCCACGCAGGCTGGGGTCGCTGGCGCCGCCGCCGCGCAATGCCAGCTCCAGGCCGCGCTGGGCCCACCGCCTTTTTGCTGTATCATCCTGATCCGGGCCGCCGGCGCTTCCTTGGAATTGAGGAAGTCGAGCCAAACGCTGGCTGGGACATCTCTGGGCCGCGCCCACCCCTCGCCCGGCCTCCTGCAGCCCACTGCGAGAGACCCCCACTAGGCGCGGGCGTCTGGCGACGCGGCCCAGGTGCGTTTAGCAAGGGGCAAGAGTTCGCGCAGGGGCGGAGGCGCACCCCCTCGCAGACTGGGGCCGAGACGGCCCCCTGCGCTGGAGCCGCTGGTGTCCGTCGTCGCGGGGGCAGGGCGACGGGCCAACTGCACGGGCGATGGGCCCCCACTCCGTTGCTCGGCGGAGGCGGCGCGGTCGCCATCGACCAACGCGACCCTGGCGGACTGCAAGGAAGGTCGCCACGCGCCTCCCCGAATGGATTGTGCAGCTGAATACTGGCGGTGCACGACGGGGTCGACGCGCTGCCCCGATGGTGCCCACGCGGTGTCCAAACGGTGCTCAGGGGATGTCCTGATGGCGTCAACATGCTGACCTGGCGGCGCCCACGAGGCGCCCAACTGGCGCCCAGATGGCGGCCCGATGGTCGCCCCAAAATGCGCCCACAGAGCCCCGGCCGCCCCTGCCGGCGGCGATCCGCCGAGGTCTCGATGGAATCCCGACGGCGCCCCAAAAGCGCCGCGGGGCTGCTTTCAGGCGCCGCCCCGACGACCGCCCCCGCCGCCCTTGTCCGCGGGGGGGCACCGAGCTGGAGCGCGGTCGCCAGTCCGAGGGGGGAGCACCGAGCAAACGCACGCCTGAGGGGGGAGTTCCACTCCTCTCCAGCCCGTCGCCCACGTCCGCGGGGGGGCGCCGAGCTGGCGCGCTGCCGGTGGAATGGCCCCCCCCCCCGCGGCCAGAAGGGCCCCCTGGGGCCGCCTGGGGAGGGCGCTCTTCGGCGCACGGAGCGCTAGCGGAACCGTCGCCAGCATTCGCGGGGGGGCGCCGAACTGGCGCGCCGCCGTTTAAAGAGGGCCCCCCCCCTGCAGCCAGAGGAGCACCCTGGGGAGGCGCCCTTCGGTGCACGGAGGGCGAACGGAAACCTGAGGGGGGGGCTCTCGTCTCCATCGGGCCCGCCCTTCCCGCCGGCGGGGGGCCGCCGAACTGGCGCGCAGTCGCTGCTAGGGCGGCGAGCGCCCCAGGGAGCTCCCTGGGGAAGGTACCCCATCGGCGCGCGGGGGGCGGGCGGGCGCCCGCGGTGGGGTCTCTCCCCCCCCGCGGCCCTTCCCTCGCCCCCGTCGCCCCCGTCATCTCGCCCAGCCCCGCCACGCCAACCGCCCCCGCGGGAACGCCGCCCCTCCCGACGCCCACGCCGCCCTGGGAATCGCACCGAGCAGGGGCAGGGGCGCCGCGGCGGGGGCGCCCAACCCCCATCTCTCCCCGCGCCCTCCCCCGCGGCCCCTTTCCGCGCCAGCGGGGCCCCAATCTGGCGCACGTTCACTCGCGACCTCCTCGCTGCACCTCCCCGCCCCCTCCTTCCCGGCAGTTTCCGCGCAAGCGGGTTCGCACCGAGCCGGTGCATATCCAGCCGCGATGTCACCGCACTGGGGGGCAGGCCCCAGGCCTGCGGGGCGGCGCCGAACAGGTGCACTTTTCGGGCATGGCCGCGCCCACCGCGCTGACGGCGGAGCCCCCCCTGGGGAAGGGGGCCCCGCGCCGCGCGGAGGGCGCTGGGCGGGGCGGCGGAGGGGGGGGAACGGGCAGGAGAACACCTCCCACCAAGACTTCCCAACCCCCCGCCCCTCGCACAGCCGGCGGCACCCTGCGAATCACGCGACCTCTCGATATTCGAAACACACGACCCACGCGCGCGCCCCCCCTCCCCCGCGCACACACATGCAACTACGCGCGCGAAAGGCCACCAACCACGCACACACCACGCCACGCCCGCTCGCACGTACACTTTTCGGGGGGCGGCTTCCCATCGCAAGGAGACAACTCGAGACATGGGACAGGTCAGGGTGCGCATTGCAAACACATCTCGTTGAACGGTTTCCAACGGTAGGGGAAAACAAATCACCTCCGACCCTCCCCGTGCTGGCGGTGGGAGGGGACAAGTCCCCGCGCTGGCACTGTTCCCTCAGGGCTCGAGACCCCCGCCAATGCGAGCAATGCAAGACTGCTCACCAGCAGAGACGGCGACCCGGAGGCGAGGGATGGTCTCGCACCGACGGACCCCAGATCGGGACAGAAACCCCCGTTCTTGCATCCAAGTGCATTCCATCGCACTCCCCCGCACAACGCTGCACACCACAGCGCTGAGGTAGGGTGCCACCGCAGGACCGGCAGAAGCCGCGCGCCGAGCCTGCACGAAACGCCGCCGACGCGCGGCGGCCAGACGCGGGCCAGGGCTCACGCCAAGACGGTGCTGGAGGGATGACGCCCCCAGGAGAGGTCGCCATAACCGCCCGCCGGCCCGCGCCAAGGCACGCGCTACCCCCCCCGCCACCCCAAAGGAGCACAGCCGACAAAACAAGATCCCACGACCACCCTGGGAGGCATCGCGACCCCCCCCCAGCGCAACAGCGATAGGCACGGGGGGCACAGGCCTGGGATCAGGGGGCCGCTCGCACCCAGATTCCTGCGTGGGGCTGGCCGCGCTGGCCCGCTCATCACCACGGGTGGCCCAGACGAAAAATGCCGCCCCCTGGCGGGCCAGCTGCGTTGTCCCTGCCCGGCCGGGAGGCCTGGGTAGCATTATGGGCTTGCTCCTGTCCGACTCGGCGGACGCGCCGGACGGTAGGCCGCGCCGCCCCGGCGCCGCGGCCCCAGGAGCAGGGCGCGGGTGGGTAAAGAGCTCAGCTGGCCCGCAAATGACACACGTCATTTATGCTTAGAGCTTGCGCGCGCATCCGATACATAGGACTGGTCAGGGTGCACACCACACCACGCACCAACGAATACGCACTCGCCGACGTACACCTCTCCAACCCCCCCTCTTCCATCGTGACACCCCGTCCTCATTACGAAACGCTCCCCGAAGCCCTCGCCAAGCCCGTGCTCCCGCGGCGGGCCGCGGCCGTGCTGGAGCTCTACCTGGCGCCTCCTGGCGGGGCCCTCCGCGCCGCCATCCGCCGCGAACCCAGGAGAGTCCCAGGAGTCGAGGCTTGTAGATGCAACCTGACCTTCAGTCAGAAGGCAAACTCCCGCGAGCAACCACCGAGGTGACGACAAGCGGGGGGGGCCTGCGCCGCGCGATTCCCGGGCGGGCAGTGCTAACAGGCATTCGCACAACAACTCCTCTGGCATAGGCCCTCCGCGCAAAGCAGGCCAACGTCCAAGCCGAAAACAAGAGGCTCCCAGAACCCACAGAGCCGTGAATAGGGGGCCACTTTGCCCACGCAACAGAGGCCACTGCGCCCGCCCCGTCCGAAGAATACAATCAGCACGACGGCAGAAAACTGTTCCAGTATAGGCTCACACAAGGGACAGCGGACACATCTGAAAGCACTCCAGCTCCAACAAAGAGTCGAACAAACTGGCGTGGCACTCCAGCTACAAAAGCCATGCAGAAGCATGTGATTGCAATTAGAGGGAATCAGGAACACATAAAATAGCAACGCAGTTAATCTCGGTCAGCACGTCAACAGAAGAGCACCGCACGGCGACGATCACGAAGACAGCAAGCTGGGCATACAATACTCATCACTGCAGATAAACCATGACTTGAAAAGGGTGACGCAAGTAACACCTTCTGCGCTACTGTCTGAAAGGCCATAAATTATGCATTGGCTGTCGAACAGCACACCATCACACGATCCAAAACGCACGGTACTCTGGAGCCGCATGGGCGGCGCAAAACCTGTCGGACAGGACCTCGAAGATTCGATACAAAAATCGTACAACAACAATATTTGGGTTCACGGCCCGTCTTGTCTTCCATCATGCAAGAAACTCTATTGGCCGGCGCGCGGCCTCGTCGAGCACCGTCACGCCACTCCAACCAACCTCACCCCCAGCATGCTCGACTGCTGGTGGAGTCGTGGCGCCGGGGACGCAGTAGGGTCCCAGAAGTCCACGTGGTCCTGCACGCCCAGCTCGCTTTTGAAATGCACACCGCGCGCGGCGCCAGCGACCCGGGCGACAGCGGAGGCGCGGCCGCGGCGGCGGCCATGGCGTCGGCGGCCGCGGCGGCGGCGCGCGCGCCAGAGGCCGCGGCGGCGGCACACGCAGCGGAGGCCGCGGCGGCGGCGCCCCGCGGCAGCGGGGAGGCCGCCCGGCGGCGGCCGCGCGCGCGGCCCGCGGCACGGCCGCGCGCGCAGTGCCAGCGGCGCCCACAGCTCCCGCAGCGCCGGCGGAAGCCGAGCGCGCCCGCGGGAACGCCACTGGCGCCCGCGGCGCCACCGGCGCCCGCGGCGCCATGAGCGCCGGCGGCGCGCTCGGCCCGCCCGCAGCGGCCAGCGGCAGCGAGCCGCGAGCGGCGGCGGGGCCGCCGCGGCATCGGCAGCCGCCGCGGCGCGGGGAGCGCCAGCGGCGCCGGCGGAGGCCGCGGCGGCAGGAGCGCGGCGCTGCCGCCGCCGCCGCGCCGCGGTCCCCTCGCCGCAGGCAAGGGCGCCCCACTATAGCACCGGCAGGGGGGGCCAAGAAGAGGCGCCCTTCCGGCCCCTCCCTGGCCGGGCCACGCCGGAGGTCGGGACCGACCTCCGGCCCTGCGGCAGCGGCCACTGCGGCGCCCCTCGAGCTGGAGCGGCTTGAGCCAGGGGGGCTTGAGCAAGGGTTGGGTGCGGTACGCACACACACACACGCGCACACACACACACACACACACACGTACACACGCACACGCAAACACACACACACACACAGACACAGACACAGACACACTCACAAGCCACTGGTCTTCGCCCCCCTCTTGGACGGCCCCGACTCCTCAGGGACCGCTTCTGCACCAGCTGGGGCCTCTCCTTGACGGGCTTCCGGGCCGCGCCGCCCACCTTCGCCAGCGACGAGCCCCCAGACTTGCGACGGTGCGATTTGTTTAATCCCAACGATTTCCTTCACTCCATGAAGCCCCTGGGACCATCAGCGACGGACCAGGGACGCAAACCTATCCGCAGGGGCCCGGGGAAGGGGTATGGAGGTGCAGACTGAAATCACGCATCGTCGGATGTCTGGGCTTCACGAGCGACGAGCATGTCCACCCAGGCTTATCACAATTTCTCGGTGTCTGGAGACCGTCTTCGGCCCCAAGGGCCGTCAAACATCGACCAAGGATGGGCAAAGACTGCCCCAGGCGAACCCTGGAGGGGTTTGGAACAGATTCTGAATGAACATCGTCGATGTCAGCATCCAGGACCTCGCGGCTTGGACACCGAGGCGCGATCCCACGAATCTGCGATTCCATGGGCCAGTTCCGCGCAGGGAATCCGCGCAGAGCTGCCCTGCATCCACGGAGTCGCGGCCGAGGAGTCCAGACCGCAAGGCCGCGGGTGCATTTTCCACACACACAACACCTGCCCTGCGAAGTTCGCGGAGCTGCCGCCCATGATGGCGTTCGCCTGGGTCTTGACGAAGGCCACGAACTCCGAGTTGCTGATGCAGTAGTCGTCGTTCTCGTCGATGGTCTCCAGCCAGTTCGCCACCTCCTCGGCAGTGAATGCGAAGCCCAGGTCCTTCAGCGCGTGGCAGAACTCCATCGGCTCCAAGAGGCCAGAATTGTCCACGTCGTACCTTTGGCACGCGGGGAGCGGGCCCTGGAGGTGAGACGGGTCCTGGACCCTGGGGCCTTCCACTCGGAAAAGCTTCTCACGCAGAGTCCTGTCTGGACGGTCCCCGGGCCCAAGGAAGGCCCCAGGAGCAGGGCCCAGCGCCGATCCAAAGAATCAGCGCGGACCTCCAATGCAAACGCAGCTTTTCCCCAAAGTGCTTGAACTTAGTGGTTCTGATCTGTTTCTAAGGAATTGGGCCTGTGCGTTGGTCTGGCGGTAATGTAATCGTCGTCGCCGCCACGTCGCCGCCTCGTCGCCGCTCATCGTCTGGGCCTGTGCGTCTGGCGACAATGTAATCGCCGTCGCCGCTCCGCCGTTGCCTCGTCGCCACCCATCGTCTGGGCCTGTGCGTTTGGCGGCAATGTAGTCGCCGTCGCCGCCCCGTCGCCACCTCGTCGCCACCCACCGTCTGGGCTTATGCGTTCGGCGGCAATGTAGTCGCCGTCGCCGCCCCGTCGCCGCCTCGTCGCTGGTCTGTGCTTGTGCGTCTGGCGGCAATGTAGTCGCCGCTGCCGCCCCGTAGCCGCCTCGTCGCCGCCTCGTCGATTCTCCTTTCTAAAAAAAAATAGACTCTTCCCCCCCCCCCCCCGGACTTAACGCTTCCCCCTGGGATAGTATAATTTCATTCATACCTACATACATACATACATACATACATAGATACATACATATACACACACATGTACACATACATACATACATACATATATATGTATATATACAAACATATATATATATATACCCATACTCTGCACAGTCGTCCATCCTAAATATGAAATCACATCATCCCAGCCAAACCGGTATCCCCCCCTGAGGTTCCCTTGTAAAAAACAGGATGCGGTGACATGTTTTGTTCTAACATAACACTTGTTTTACGAATCCCTTGCAAAACATGGGACGAAGTGCACACGCTCGCGTCGTCGCGCGCGCATGCCGAAATCCTTCAAAAACAGTCGGTGCCGAAAAGATTTCGCAATCGAGTTTCAAAAAAAATACAATTACCCTGCGACGTACCCAACCCACGTGCATCAAATGGCAAGAGGAGTATGCCAACATTAGCAGGAACAGCGACAGTGTAGACGCGGCGATTTGCTGCGCAAGCTACATGGGATGCGCATGCGTTGCACAATTCACAGGACGACGATCGAAAGAACGAGGCTTGAGGCCCCAGGATCGAAGAAGAACGGGTACGGGAACGAGGGGTAGGAGAGGGATGGAATGGAGGGCGGGGGGGGCGAAAGGCCATCGCGGAAGCAGCAGCATGCATGGAGAAAGTGAGGCGGGGAATAGGACGACGATGAAAGTGGCAGGAGGAGACAGAAGACTGCCGCGTTTTTCAAGTGCGAGCTAAACCCGCAGCGCTGCCTGCGCCATGTCGTCGCAGAGTTCGACATGATAAAACTAGTTTAGAGCGCAAGGAACGAGCGAGGCGTAGCTCGCCCGCTAGCTTCTCCGCCTCCTTCCCGCACATTTCAGCGCGGGAGCTGAACGCTCGCAGGCGCGCCGCCAGGTCTGCGGGCGGCCCGCGGGAAAGAAACTCAAGGCCGGGGTCGCGTATCATCAATCGGTTGTCCATCGTCCAAAGTTGCACTGGCGACGTACTGGTTGAACGCGGAGCGAGCAGCATCACGCGCGTGCCTGAACGCCACGCAGGTACAGAGCACGCGCGATTGGGACTTCAGGTCGATCACGCGCGTCTCCACCAGGCTTGGCAACACCACGCGACTGAGGATCTCACTGCGGTCTGCCATGCTGCTGTCCGCGAATGCAATGTGCTGCCTGCAAGTAAGGCGGCGGCGTCCACTTGTCTCAGAAGATGTTCCCGCGGGCCCGAAGGGCGACCGCCAGCTCGAGCCGCGGCGCCGGCAGGCCAGATAAGGATCATGCAACAGCAACGACGATGACAGAGCAACGAGGTATCGGCGAGTGCATGACCGGCCTCCGTTTCCTGCACTTCTTTCCTGCAGTTCCCCTAGCATCGAGCTCAGCAGATGTTTCTGCGGGTCCGAAGGACGACCGCCAGCTCGAGTCGCAGCGCCGACGAGCTGCATCCACATCAGGCAACACCCCAGGAGCACTGGCACACAACGATTTGACGTCAGTCAGTGCCAGACCACTCCATGTCTAGTTCCTCGCACACATACAGTCGATCGCAGATGCGGGATAATCGAAGTAGAATGACGGGTCCAATCTGCGTCCGCGTAGGACGTCACTATGCTGGACCCCGCAGCAGGTCTCGAAAGTGGCGACAGTTTCATGGGCCCCACAGCAGCCCTCGAAAGTGGCGACAGTTTCACAGATCGTAGCCCCCCAGCGCTGGCGAGTTCTAATCTGAGTCCCCCCCCCCCCCGCGTAGGGACGTCAACATGTGGCCCCAGCAGCCTTCGAAAGTGGCGACAGTTTCACAGATCGCTAGCCCCCCAGGGATGGCGAGGTTTAATCTTGTATCCCCGTAGGCGTCACTCGCTGGGCCCCCCACGAGCCTTCTTGAAAGTGGTCGACAGTTTCACAGATCGCAGCGCCCCCAGGGATGGCAGAGGTCTATTGAAACCCCGTAGTTTGGGCGGTCACTCCGCAGGGCCCCCAGCAGCCCTCGAAAGTAGGCGCAGTTTTCACAGATCGCAAGCCCCAGGAAGAATGGCGAGGTCTAATTTGAATCCGCGCGTGGCCCTCACTGTGCTGGGCCCCCCAGCAGGCCTCGAAAATGGCGACAGTTTCGCAGATCGCAGCACCCCAGGGATGGCGAGGTCTAATTTGAATCCGCGCGTGGCCCTCACTGTGCTGGGCCCCCCAGCAGGCCTCGAAAGTGGCGACAGTTTCACAGATCGCAGCCCCCCATGGAGGGCGAGGTCTAATTGACCCCGTAGGGCGTCTCTCCGCTGGGTCCCCCCAGCAGCCTCGAAAGTTGGGGCGACAGTTTCACAGATCGCAGCCCCCCAGAGATGGCGAGGTCTAAACTGGATCCGCCCGTGGCGTCACTGTGCTGGGCCCCCCAGCAGGCCTCGACAGTGGCGACAAGTTTCACAGATCGCAGCCCCCCAGAGATGGCGAGGTCTAATTTGGGTCCGCCCGTGGCGTCACTGTGCTGGGCCCCCCAGCAGGCCTCGAAAGTGGCGACAGTTTCACAGATCGCAGCCCCCCAGGGATGGCGAGGTCTAACTTGGGTCCGCCCATGGCGTCACTGTGCTGGGCCCCCCAGCCGGCCTCGAAAGTGGCGACAGTTTCACAGATCGCAGCCCCCCAGGGATGGCGAGGTCTAATCTGAATCCCGTAGTGGCCGTCACTCCGATGGGCCCCCCAGCCGGCCTCGAAAGTGGCGGACAGTTTCACAGATCGCAGCCCCCAAGGATGGCGAGTCTCTAATCTGAATCCGTAGGGCGTCACTCCGTGGGGCCCTGTGGTTTTGGTGGTGGTTTCGGCGCCCTTCTTCGGGAGGGGAAAGAAGAAGGAAACCGGAACCGGAACCGGAACCGAAACCGGAACCGGAACCAAAACCAGAACGGAAGAGCGCCGGAAGAAGGCAAACGCAAACCGGAACCAAAACCAGAACCGGAACCAAAACCAGGACCTCGGGAGCCTCTCGAACCAAAGAAGAAAAAGGAAACCGAAACCGGAACCGGAACCGGAACCAGAACCGTGACCGAGGAGGCCTTCTTCGGGGCGGGGAAGAAGAAGGAAACCGGAACCGGAACCGGAACCGGAACCAGAACCATGACCGGAAGCGCCCCTGGGCACCGAGAAAAAGAAAGAAACCGGAACCGGAACCGGAACCGGAACAGGAACCACGACGACCGTCTCAAACGAATAAAGAAGAAGGAAACCGGAACCAGAACCAGAACCTGAACCAAAACCGTGACCTGGAAGGTTTTCTCTGCGGGCGAAAAAGAAGAAGGAAACCGGAACCAAAACCTGAACCGGAACCAAAACCGTGACCTGAGGGTCTTCTCTGGGGCGGAGAAGAAGAAGGAAACCGGAACCGGAACCGGAACCGGAACCAAAACCGTAACCTGGAAAGTCTTCTTTGGGACCCCGAAGAAGAAGGAAACCGGAACCAAAACCGGAACCGGAACCAAAACCGTAACCTGGAAGGTCTTCTTTGGGACCCCGAAGAAGAAGGAAACCGGAACCAAAACCGGAACCGGAACCAAAGCGTATAACCTGGAAGGTTTTTTTGGGACCGGAAAAAGGAAGAAGAAACCGGAACCAAAAATACTTGGAACCAAAACCGTGACCTTGGGGGGTCTTTTTGGGACCCGAACAAAAAAGGAAAGAAGGAAAACCGGAACCAGAACCGGAACCGGAACCAAAACAGTGACTGGGGGGTCTTCGGGTGCCCGACGAAGAAGGAAACCGGAACCGGAACCGGAACCAGAACCAAAGCCGTGACCTGGTAGGTTTATTTGTGCTCCGAAGAAGAAAGAAACCGGAACCGGAACCGATGCCGGAACCAAAACCGTTGCCTTGTGGCCTTTGTTGGGCCCGAAGAAGAAGGAAACCGGAACTGAACCGAACCGGAACCAAAAACCGTGACTTGCAGCTTCCTTGGCTTCGAAAAGACGGAAACCGGGGGAACTGGAAACGGCATTTCCGCTCGGAGGACCTGCGGTAGTCCACATGGATTTCCGTGAAGAACAAAACTGGCACCATTGAGGTGCTGTCTTGGGACGGAGGTTTATTGAATACGGGTGCCACCTGGAGATGGTGTCTCTTGGAAACAGAAGCGGTGGGGCGGGCGGGCGGGCGGGGGTGCGCGGCGGCGGGTCGGGTTTTTAAGTAGACCTCTAGAGATTGACTCTCTGGGCAGCGGGGTTGTTGATTACTGGTGCATTCTTTGCGGCGGGGTCTGTTGAGTACTGGGTGTTGTCTTGGAGACGGAGGCTTGTAAATACTGGGTGCTCCCTTGGACACGGAGTCTGTTGAATATTGGGTGCTGCCTTGGAAACGGGAGTTGTTGAATAGTCG